CATCAGATGGGCCACAGCTCTGATCCTGTGTGAAAACCTCCCTATGAAAAAGGAGAAAACAATGAGAATCACAGAATGGTTAGGGTTGGAAAGAGCTTCATAGAACAGTCTGGGCTGGAAGGGACCTTCAGAGGCCATGTAGTCCAACCCCCTGCAATCAGCAGGGGCATCTTCAACTAGATCAGGCTGCTCAGAACACGTCCAGCCTGGCTTTGAATGTCTCCAGGGATGGTTCATTATGAGACCAAATTTCCCTCCTCCCCACCTTTACTGTTTATAATACTCTAATGGTATTACAAACTGTATTTATAATGCCAAGCACGAAATGAGACATATGCCCCTTTGAAAAGCATGACTAAATATATGATCTACTATACAATATTGGTTATGAAATCTAGGTAATAAGGGGTTTTAACCCTGCCTTTCCCTAATTAATTATTCAGTGAAGCTAATGGCACCTAACTAAGAATTTTCAGGCTATATGCACAAGTTATGTAGCACTACTAATGAAAAGTATCTTTGCTTATCAGACACAAGGACTGGATTTCTTTTCCCCCCTGCTACTCACTCAATGATACTGGGCAAAGAGCTTAACTCTTTTGCTGATGATAATCCTGCATTTTCACAGGCTTAGATTAAAATCCTAATATCTGCCAAGTTGATATCATTTAATTTCCAGACTAAAACAATTTGTCATTACCCAGTTAATTCAGTTGAGTTCTTCATATGATGGCAGGGTCCTGGAAGATAAACTTGCATGGAATGTCTACATCGTTGATGTTTATTCCAATGAGGCTGAAAGACAAGCAAGAAGCAGCACTGATGTAACCTATGTGAAAATTATTGCCTTTGATGAGGCAAACCAGGAGGTACCTGCAGAAGAAGTGAGAAGGTCAGTATGGCACAGTCTGTGTTTGGGGTGTCAGAGCTGTGCAGCTGGGGTCTGTTTCCATGACAATTATTAATGTCCTGGACAGGGCAGGTTCAGATCAAGTAACAGTTTATCTGAGGTTTATCTCAAGGTTTAAAGGGGGGGTTTAGAATTCAGAAAGCTTTCAATATTATTTCCTGAAAAGTAGTTTTCAAAGTTTGTCAAAAACATGAATGATGTTGTTTATTTCATAGAATCATGGAATGGTTTGGGTTGGAAGCGTCCTTAAAGCTCATCCAGTTCCAACCCCTGCCATGGGCAGGGACCCCTTCCACTGGAGCAGCTTGCTCCAAGCCCCTGTGTCCAACCTGGCCTTGAGCACTGCCAGGGATGGGGCAGCCACAGCTTCTCTGGGCACCCTGTGCCAGCGCCTCAGCACCCTCACAGGGAAAAGCTTCTGCCTAAGAGCTCAGCTCAATCTCCCCTCTGTGAGTTTAAAGCCATTGCCCCTTGTCCTGTCCCTATGTGCCCTTGCAAAAAGCCCCTCTTCAAGACTTCTTGCAGGCCCCTTTAGGCATTGGAAAGCTACTGTGAGGCCGCTTTTCCTCTGAGGAAAGTGCTATTGGTATCTATAACAGTACATGCGGCTGCCCTGATGTAGCTTTAAAGGATACCGACCTCTCAAGTTCCATTTTTCCCAGTGTTGCACCACTTTAGCTCATAAGCAGCAGGGTTTGTTGCTAGAAAGCAGAGTTTTTCTTGAACTAAAGACACGTCTGAATCGCTGGAACAGGTCTGGGTGGACCAAGGGGTGCTATTTCTGTTGTTTTCTTCACTAGTCTTCAAGCCAAAGTGAAGGTCTGATAAGTAATGAGCAGTTTACTCCTCTGTCTTCAGAAAACTGCAGGAGCAGAAGAGTAACATTGAGACAGAACTGGAGAAAATATTTTCAAGGCCTGTTACCACCAGCATAGAAGCAGCTCCTGCTGACTCAGCAAGTCCTGAACTCATTGCAACGATAGTGCTCAGTGTTCTGCTGGCCTGCAGCCTCATTGGCTTCCTGGTATATGTAGCTTTTACCATAAAAAGGAAAAGGTACAACTACTCTAACAGTAAGACCTTACAACTAATAAGTTCACTTTAAATGTCAAGCTAAAAAATACTTAGCTGATGATTTACTGGAGCATTGCTGCAAATCAAAATGCCTGGTGTACTGTAGGTATTAGAGACACTGTGTGTAACTGAACCTTGGAGTCTCCTTGTGTGTGTCACGCAGCGACAGCAGAAACAAACAGATTTAAGACCAGAAATGTGGACAGCAGACATTTCAGCTGTGAAGGGGGGCACAAGGAGCTGTAATATACCCACAAACATTTCTTCTAGCTCCACAAATGCTGAAATCAGAGCAGGTTTTGCTGCAAACTTCAGCGGCAGCAGGACTGCATTGTATGGGAAAACGAATCCACATTTCCAAGAGGGCAGCAGGTATTTACCCTGCTGCCATTATGGGAAAACAGGAAATACTCCAAACTTACCCTGAAACATGGTGCATTAAAGTCCTGACACAAGTACTTCGAGCTCTGTTTTAAAAGCAGTTGTAAAGCCAATCTCCAACATGAACTAACCATTCTATTTGAATGTACTCATCTCTTGCAGGAAGCGGGAGCAGCAGTATTTGGTTAAGCAGCAAGCTGAAACTGTGGAGGGCATTGATAATCCATGGGCAACTGACAAAAATGGAAGTGTGAAAAGCTTAGAGAAGCTCGAGCACGTCAATAATGTGTAAGTTGAGTGGTGATACCCCAAACTGATAAAAAAATAGGGTATCAAAAGGTTCAGCTCTCCTTTATTCTGGTGACAGAGCATTTTCCTTGTATCTTTCAGTGGTGTACAGGTCAATTCTTAAGAACCCTTACAGTTACAAGTAAAAACTCAATGAATGAAGGGTGCTAATGCCTTTTAATCTTATATCCAAAATTACAAGTGCAAACTCCTATTTACTCTTTAGCCTTATGCACAAAAAACCCCCCTTCAGGGTACAAGAAGCCACTTAATGTTCGCCTGAATGTTAAATCCCATTCATTTTGAGATGAGCATACACGTTGCTCTCAGTTTTAGAGAGGCTGAGATTCTTCTCACTTAACTATTTGCCAGCTCAAGGTGTTGGGAATTCTCTTCACTCCTCCAGGGAAAAGGAAATGGTAGCGTTTAGCAACATGGGAAACACCAAAGGAGGAGACTCCGACAAAGACCTGATTCAGGCTGATGAAACATGCACTTACCTTGAGACGCTGCTGTTAGATTTCAGCAGCAAACACGAAGATAATGGAGCATCTGAACAAGCTGCTGAGCCCAGAAATGGGGAAGCCCAGCACAGTGCAGATTTCACAGCCAAGCAGGTAACCAGCCTTCCAATTGCTAAGAGTGAGGTGAGATTTTATCACTCTCCATCAAATAACCGACAGCATTATCAAAAAACAAGTAACCTAGAGATGGAAATAGAAATAACAGTAATAACATCTTACCTGAAGTAATGATGAGTTATTGAGGAAGGGCTGTTTGTCCTGCTTAGGACGAGGACAATAGCTTTGTGATCCAGAAATGATGATTTTCTTCTGTTATAGAATGTGAACAGTAAATGGTATTCATGGGCTGCTCCTAAAACCTGCAGCCTTAAAACGAATGCTTTCATTGCAAGCTTTGGAGACAGAATATAGAATCATGGAGTTGTTTGGGTTGGGAGGGATCTTAAAGCTCATCCAGTTCCAACCCCCGGCCACAAACAAGGACCCCTTCCACTGGAGCAGCTTGCTCCAAGCCCCTGTGTCCAGCCTGGCCTTGAGCACTGCCAGGGATGGGGCAGCCGCAGCTTCTCTGGGCACCCTGTGCCAGCGCCTCAGCACCCTCACAGGGAAGAGCTTCTGCCTCAGATCTAACCTGAACTTCCCCTGTTTCAGTTTGAACCCGTTACCCCCTGTCCTGTCACTACCGTCCCTGATGCAGAGCCCCTCTCCGGCACCCTTGTAGCCCCCTTCAGACTCTGGCAGCTGCTCTGAGCTCTCCTCACAGCCTCTCCTCTCCATAAGACAGTACAAAGTATAAAACATTTGTCTATGTAACGTTACAGTCCCGTTCATAACGCATCACGCTCCAGCACTCACCGCTTTCTGCCTTACCTGTGCTACGGTCTCTTGCAGGATGGCTTCCTGACAGACGGGAACCAGGAGCCAGTTCCTTCCTTAACCCCGCACCCCGCCACGCCTCGCCCTGAGAAAGACCTGAAAGGAGTCAAGTTCTCGGAAGTGGCCATTATTCTGGAGGCAGAGCCTGAAGAGGACGAGCCTGACACGACCGACGGGCTCTGCACCACCGCCAATGCCTGAAGCAGCAAGCTGTTGGCAAGAACACGGGGCCAGTACAGAGTGAAACGAGCCATAGGGATAAGGGGATGCTATCCAGGTTCTCATTCCTTCTGCTGCTCTTGTGGTGCAAGAGATGGACAAGCAACAACCTAAGCCCTAGGGCTGCAGGGTGGCTGTAACACAAGGTGCTCCCTCACCGCGCATTGATTTCAATGGCGAGACAATAAAACCGCTTCTCCCTGCGCTGCCGTGTCCTTACCCGAGGGGGAGCACAGCTCGGGTGCGGGTTCTGCTGCTCCTCTGCACTGACTCCTCCTCAGGGTTAGTTCACACCAAGAACAAGGGATGGGACAAGAGGAACCGGCCTCAAGCTGCACCAGGGCAGGTTTAGATGGAGCTGAGGAACAATTCCTGCCCCAGAGGCATTGGAACAGGCTGCCCAGGGCAGGGCTGCAGGCACCGTCCCTGCAAGTGTTCACACACTGTGGAGACGAGGCCCCAGTGCCATGGGTTAGTGGTGGCCTTGGCACTTGGACCGGACCTCAGCAGTTTTCCCCCCCCCGTTGATCTATGACCGGGACGCTCCCGCCCCGTCCTGCCCCGCCCACCTTCCCCGGGGGGGGGGGGCGGTTCCGGAGCCGCTCCCTGTGCCCGGGTCCCCTCCTTCCCCGCCCGCGTCCGGCGGCGCGGCCCTGCCTCCTCCCCGCTGCCGCCTGAGGCGCGCTGAGGCGCGGGGGGGGTGCAGGGGAAGGGCGGCGCGGCCTCGCCTTCCTCTTCCTCCGGCGCGCGGAGCGGGGGCGGGGAAGGTTCTGGCACCTTCGGTGCGGGCGGCGGGAGCGGTTGTGGCGCGGGGCCGGGGCTGCGCCATGGCCAAGTGGGGCCAGGGGGACCCGCGGTGGATCGTGGAGGAGCGGGCGGACGGCACCAACGTCAACAACTGGCACTGGTGAGGGGCGGCCCCTGAGGAGAGGGGAGGGGAGGGAACGGGACCCAGGGGTTCGCGGTTAACGGCGGCGCTCCCCGGGGCAGGACGGAGCGGGACGCGACCAGCTGGTCCAAGAGCAAGCTGAAGGAGGTGCTGGTGGGGCTGGTGGTGGAGAGCGAGGCCGGGCGCTGCGAGATCAGTGACCTGAAGCACGTGGAAGGCGAAGCGTCCTGCAACAGCCGCAAGGGGAAACTCATCTTCTTCTACGAGTGGAACCTGCGCCTCAGCTGGAGAGGTACGGGGGGGGGGGCACCGCCATTGCCGCGGGTAGGAGGGCAGGGGTTGGGGGCCTGGTGCGGGGTGGCCTGGAGTTGAGCCTGGTGTGGGAGAGATGGCTTTGGGAAGGGAGCTCTGCTTGGGGTTGGGAATGCTGTAGTAAACTGACTCAGGAGATGCGTGGGCCTGAACTCTGCTTGTGTTTAAGTAACGTGAAAACCCCACCTTCTCTTTCTCTGCCCTTCATGTAGTTTGTTTTGTGCTACACCTGTGTTTTAGGGTTGTTTTACCAGCACGGTATTCATAGAGACACGGAAGAGGTTGGAAGGGGCCCTAAAGCTCATCCGGTTCCAGCCCCGGTCCCTGGCAGGGACACCTTCCCCTAGAGCAGGTCGCTCCAGGCCCCGGAGTTCTGCTTTGCAGGAAGTAAATACTTGTGCTGTGCTGGGAGCCGGATTGCTCCTAGCAGCGGCCTTGAGCTGGCCTGGTGCCTGCGGTGTGCGAATGGCAGCTGTGCCGGTGGCAGGAGGGAGATCCGAGGAAGTGTGCTCCTAGAAATCCCGTGTCCTTTACGTGGAGGAGGATGAGTTGCATGAGGAAGCAACATGCAGCAGGAATAAGGAAGCTGCACGTCTTGATTATTGGGGATAAAGGGGCTGTGCTGCATCCCCTTGCTGGAGGTTCATCCTCTGCTGTGCTTGTCCTGTGGCATCTCTGTCTGCAGTCTGACCTGGTAACGTATCTTTTAGTAGTATCAAGGGATTATATTCATGTATGAGATGCCTAAAACCTGCTGGCAGGCTGCGGACCACCTCTTACGTTGCAGCGAAAGGCAGGAAGAGCTGGTAAAAAGAGCCTGCCTGCACAGTAAATTGTAATGGCAAATGACAGCTGTCCCCCCCCAGAATACTGCACTTCTCAGGCCTCAGTTGTTACTGTAGGAGGTGGGAACACCAGGGGCCATACAGCACTACCAGTGCCCCAGAGCAGTTCGGTAGTCTCTGGATCAGTGTTTGAGGTGATGCTGTTGCAGTGGGTGCTTGTGGTTTGCACTTCTCTGTTTCATGGTGCCCTCTCCAATGCAGTTCCTGAAGACTGTTTCCTGTTTGCTTCCAGTTTTCCTGACTGGAACTTTATAATGTTCCTTTGGATGCTGAGGCCAGTGCTCCTGTTGGAACAGATTTGCAGTTGAGGTCTGCTCCCACAGTAACAGGGGCTCCAAGTTCACATTGAGAGTTCTGTTTTAAATGTTACAAGTGTGTTATAACCTACCAACACAGAGTTGTGAGCTGAGCTAAGCATTAGCAGGGAGGAAGGCAAACGTTATCCTCTGGCCTGCAGTTTGTACCAGTGCAGTTTAAATAAGATAAATGAGCTTTTTGATGTTCCATTTGTTTGGGTGGTTGAAGGTTAAGCGTTAAACACTGCTTAGTTTGTTGGGTTTATTTCTGTGAGCAAAGCTTAGAAACTGGCAGAAGGAGTATTTGGTTTGTATTTCTATACAGGTCCTTTCTGCGTTCTTTTTCCTCTGCTTGGTCTTTCTGCTTTTTGGAGTTTAGAGAACTCTGTTTTGATCAGGCACTGTGCTTAGTGCTGTGGTGAGTGGATAAGGTCTTTGGGAGCTCAGTTTAAAGGAGTTTGCTGCTACACAGTGGAATGCTGTAAGAGCAGGGGCTGATGGTTCTCAGTGTTTTCTGCGAGGTCTGAATTAGACATGAGAGTTTAAACTGAACCGGTAAAAACACTAATTGCTGTAATCAGATCCTGCTACAAGTCTTGTGGCATAGCTGGGAGTTCAAGCTATGATTAAGATGTGGGTACATAAGGACAAGCTGGAATCTGCAGGCAGCTTGCAAAGGCTAACGTTGGAAAAACGTTTCCTGCAGCAATTTAGATTCCAGAGCAGCAAGAAAGTGAGGAAGGAAGGGTAATTCATGGCACTAAAGTTGGGCAAAACGGCTCTTCTGCAGTTTGTTTGAAGGTGTAGTGAGGGGTTTTATGGCTTATTCTATGCTGTGGTAGAAACTTGGTGAAAACGTATGTGTCCTGTTAAAACTTGGGTATTCCAGCAGTGGGGTTATGGGTAGGTGTTGCTGAGACATGGGCCTTCACTGTTCATTTTCTGAAGTGCTGAACTGGCAGGACACAAAAGAATGATGTATTCTTAGGTCTGTTACTGGAGTCCTGTGGGCTTCCAGCCAACAATGTGATTGCTTCCTTAATAAATAGGTAAGAGTTTTGCCTACATTGCAGTGATGCTGAAAATGCAGAGCTGTACTCAGGTTCTGCCTGTGCTGCTGTCCAGCACGGTACCATCTGCATTAACCCCTTGGACAAGCAGCCTTCTGAAAGGGAAGAACCCCATCTATTTACTGGCTTAATGAATTTAAAGCTGTTCTGTGGCCTGTGTCATTTGGGATTCTTTATTGTAAGAGTTGTGAAAATTGTTAGTAAAATGAGTTGAGCGGGTGTAAGTCAGGTTTGTGTTTTGTGCCTAAAATCTGCTTCCTGCATGCTTGCACTTCCTTCTCGGGGCGAGTGGCTGGAAAGAAGATTTGCTTTGCTATCTGCAAAGGTAGTGTTGTGTGGTTTTCTCCTGGAGCTGGGAGAAAGCAGCAGAGAGCAAACTGAGATGGATGTGTGTGATTTTCTATATACCAGAAGTGTTTTACTGGTATAATTGGACTAGTTCTCATGGCTTCATACTTGAGCTAACAGGTTCTCCCGGGACACTTGGAGGTGCCCAAGAGAGGTCTTTTAGCTTAGCTTTTCCCTGCATGGATGTGGTTGCCTGTGTCTGGGTTAGCAGACTTTGCATAGTGCCCTGTGCTTCATTGGGTCCCAACTAGGAAGGGATCTTTGCTCCGTGCTCCACTTGGTGTTAGTAACCATCGTGTGCTCTTCATCTTGCCAAGGAGGATCTGAGGGTTTGTTCATGTACTGGACCAGTAGCAGGTCAGGTTATATTCATGCAGAGGTTACCCCTGTGTGGGTTGTTTCAGGCTAGTAATTAAAAACAATGGAAGGAGAGTGATGTTAAGCAGAAGCTGGATCTAAGTAGCTCCTTTGAGGCTGAGAGAATCCAAAGAAGTATTACATCTCCTTCCTGGTAATTCCCCTCCTGCAGTCATGCTTGACACTGGGTTGTTTGTGTGTTTAGAGTTCTGCTGATAGACTGCTAAAGCTTGTGTTTTGACAACTAAGCTGATAAAACAGTGTGCAGATAACTGGATTTGGGGTAGGACTGCATGTTCTGCTGCTGCTTTCTAAAGAGACCTTGACGTGATCTAAACAGTGGATTAATTTAAATAACTACATGCTTTTGCATGGCCAGGGGGAAGAGTCTTGAATATAAGATAAAAATAAAGCATCAGTCCTTAAATTCAGCCTTTTCACTGTCAGGCATGAGGTAAGAAAGGGCAGTGCAGGGTCATACCCCGTATCCATTACCAGTCAGTAAGTGATGGTGGGCCTCTGCCCAGGAGGGTGTGGGAGCAGAGTGTAACTTCTGTTAGAATAGTTTGGGTTGGAAAGGACCTTAAGATCACCCAGTTCCACCCCCCTGCCATGGGCAGGGACACCTCGCTCTAAACCATCTCACCCAAGGCCTCGTCCAGCCTGGCCTTGGAGACAACCCTGGACTTCTTGCAGAGTCTTTCTGGTGTGTGCAGTGATCACAGGCAGTTTGCAGTGAAGCTGTGAGCAGAAGAGCGAGTGTTGTACAAAGCCTCCATTACATACCTGTTGCACATACATGTGTTTTACAGTAACATGCCTGCATGTTGGAAGCTTTTTGGACATTCAGGAAGGAGATAAGAGCATTCTGGGGAGCATCCAAATGAAGGGCAGACATGTTCAGGGAAGAAGTTATTTTTCCCCTACCCCCTTCTAGATACACGTCCTGTGTTGGCAGACACAACACAAGAAGCTGATGTAAGTGTAGAGTATCAGAACAACTGACAGCTGAAGGTGAGAGCAGTGGCAAAACGAGTACCTGTGTGTGTGTAATGATCTGACTGCATCCATACAGGAACGTACAGTCCTGGGAAGAGTTCAGTGTGAAACTTTACTGCTGAGACTGTGGGTTGCTGTTCAGTTCCTGTAAATGGCGTTCCAGGCAGCTTGCTTCCAGTAACGCTTTTGTACCACTGATTGCCAAGCCTAAAAGTCTTGCTACGGGGGAAATAGTTTCTAATAATGCATTTAAGAATTCATTATGTTAATACAGGTACAGTGAAAGAGTCTGGTGAGAAACATAAGGGATCTGTTGAAATTCCTAACCTGTCAGAAGAAAATGAGGTAGATGATACAGAGGTAGGTGTGAAATACTGATATGGCTGTATAGGTTCAGAATTCTTAAATCATTAATGAACACAGAGGCATCATGTTTTGCTTTATCCTGTGATTAAGTGGGATAATGACACTTGGATAGTTTATTTCATGCTTTTGTTTCTTATCCTGAGGCTAATGACTTATGTCTGTTCTCAAATTTACCTGCTAGGAATGTGCACAACTTACTCTGCTAATTATTGCTTGTGACAATGTATTAACCACAAGGTTGAGAAGAACTTTGCTCATTGTAGCCTTAAAACACTCAAACCCTAAGAACTTAAGGACCCTCCTTGTTGGTTGTGTAGCAGCATCGGTACTGTGGCTTCCACAGGTTCCTCAGCCTCGGCTCTGTAGGAGGCAACTCTGCTTATACTTGATGAACTTGCCTAAGCTATTGTGGAGGTGAGATACAACATTTATTTAAGTCTAAACCCAAGAGAATGTGTTTTTAGCAAAGGTAGGATAAGCTGAGAGGATAATGAAGGTGAAGCTGTCCTCTGAATGTAGTAAACAGAGCCAGAATACTTTCTTCTGTTGCCAGAACCCAGCAGGCTCGTGTTCAGACGCCTCTTAGATCTTGGCATTTTTCTGTTTCTAGATAAATGTTAGCAAAAAGAAGGGGGAAGGTGATGTCCTGAAGGAGCTTATGAGAACTGAAGGAACCACGAAAGTCAGAGAGGCCTTGAGAGATTATCTGAAAGCACTTAAAACAGGTAAATCCAACCTTTGTGTTAAGGATGGTTTTATGCAGGCTACTTTCTTGAACAGATTGGTGATACATTGACAGGTCCTTGGGTTTCTATTGGTTTTAATTGCCACCAGCTGAGCTGACAGAAGTTAACCCTACCAGTCAAAACCATTACTGCTGTCAAACGTGGCAGTGTCCAGAAGCTTCTGCAGTGACCCAGCCTGGGTTGTGTTACACACTGCCCACAGCCATCCCTGTCAGCCCCATGGCAAAGCAGTGCCTGACCCTCAGCTTGTTGGTTCTCTGACAGACTGGTCAGAGCGTTGTGGAGATGGTGCACTACTTAATGGGCAGATGGTAGGAATTTGGGGTAGCTTTGGAAAAGCTGTGTTTTTAGGCATCACTGTTAGGCTCTGTTACTAGTATAAAACATAGAGGTGAGGCAAGGAAGCTGGACTGGAGCTGTATGTCCCATTCTGTGCTCCCATTCTAGCAGTCTTTCTTAGGTATCTAAATGGCAGGGTGCTCTTTACATCTCAGTTTCATGCTGAAAAGTGCTTTTCTTTATTCCAGAGTTTACCTTGGGAATGATTCTGCCAACAAAAGCTACTGGTGGTCAGGAGCTGGCCACTGAGCGAAAACTAAGTGGGCACACCATGCAAGTACGTTGGCTTTGTGTGTTAAAGCTTAAGTTTGCCATCAATGGAGCGCCTCCAGCTATTGCTATGGTCACAACTGTGTATTCCTGTGGCTACCTGCAGAAGTGAAAGGCTTGGGGTGGAACTCCCTTCTCACTGCTATGAGCAGGGCCTGCAATGCAGAAAGGACCCATCACGGCTCCTGGGCATGGGCTTGCCAGGGATGGAAGGAATCATAGCATTTATGTGCCCCTCAGGGCTTTGTTCTGTGATGGTTGTGGCTCCAGCAGGGTGAAGCTGGAATCCACCTGCACAGATCCCTTCCCCCAGGCTAAAGTTAGCTTCAGGTGGCTTTAGAGCACATCACACACACTTAATGTAATGTAGTGAATCCTAATTAAGAATACTATCAAGTATAATTGACATGTAGTCACAACACAGTATGTTAAAGAATGCACAGGTACCACCATTCCTGTCATGCCAGACTTGTGTTTGACCCTGCATGCATTGACATGAGTGGTCTTTTCCTTGCAGGATTCTGTTTCACCACAGGATACAGTTGGTGTAAAAATCCCAACAGTGAAGATACTGATGAGAGAAATCTTCAACTCCCCAGCACATGAACTTTACAGCATCTTCACAACTAAGGAAGTAAGTGATGCTTTCAGTGGGCAGTATAACATGGTGTGGATGCTGTTAGAGCTGAAGAGCTGTGTAAGCAATAAATGAGCCTCAAGTGCTCAGTAATGGTGCTGCTGTGATCCAGAGCTTGCAGGTTAATTAGATTAACTGTTGGATGAGATGATGCTGTCCCTTACAGGGTATGAAACAGAAAATTACTCATCATTCAGAAGAGCCTGGGTGGCATCAGAGAACTCTGAACCACAATCCCAGTGCCTCCAGTGGGAAACAGCAGTGGCTCTCAGCAGCTCTCCTGCACCTTCCTGGAGCTGCTGCTAGGTCTCAGTCATTCCCAAACCTAGCAACAGCCAGTCATGTCGATGTATAGCTCTCTGGGTGCTTTGTCCATGCCCCTTGCAGGTGGCTACAGCCTGTATTAGCCTTTATATTTGCCAATACAGTGTTGTCACCTCACTGGGCCCACCACGACTGCTGCATAAAATGAACCATGCAGTTAGTGCTTAATGACTCTTACGTGTATTAGTTAATTTCTTCAGCAGACCTCCCTTCTCTCACCCAGTGTGCATTATGCATCAGTACAGAGGTGCAGAGAGGTGACTTGTGCTGTGTTCTGGTTTTGATAGCTGGTAGAGAAGTTTTCTAAGTGCCCTGCTGTGATTGAAGCCGAGAAAGGAGGCAAACTTCAGATGTTTGATGGCTCTGTCAGCGGTGAATACACAGAACTGGTAAAACGTTCCTGCTTTGCACTTTAAAAATGGGGGGGGGGGGGGCTGGCAGTGGTGCCTTTGAGGTAAAAATCATAGAATCATAGAATAGTTAGGGTTGGAAAGGACCGTAAGATCATCCAGTTCCAACCCCCCTGCCATGGGCAGGGACACCTCACACTAAACCATCTCACCCAAGGCCTTGTCCAACGTGGCTTTCACAGTTGCTGAGCTTGGACTTGGTATCTTACATCTGTATGGATGGCAGGCAGTGAGCATCACTGATAACAGGACTTGGAGAACTGGATTCTTGGTCCAGCCTAGTAAAATCTGTTGCTGACACCAGAAAGGGTCTGGAACACAGACACTGCAGAACCATTAACGCCTGAGCTTGGCTTCAGTAGTGACAGCCCATGAGGGAGGTCAGTTGCAGTCATCAGCCTTTGCAGTTGGATGAGGAACTATTTAGGTGAAACAGTCAAGATCAAAGTAAACTCAATGGCTTAGTGAAAACACTGAGCTGGTTTAGGCCAGCCTCCAGCTGACTGAATGCTGACACTGAAGCGGTGCCTCCCTTTGCACATGAGCTGGTGCAGGCTGTAAATTGTTTTCATGCAGTGCAGCCTAACCTGGACATTCAGGCAGGCCCAGCCGCTTAACAGAAAGTCATGGGCAGGCTCTGGCATGCTTATAGATTTCAGAAACCATGAGAGAGAGAAACCATGCCCAATGCCCATATCAAGGTCTGCAAGAAAAGCAGTGTTAGATGTTTAGTAACTGATGAGCCTGACCTTAACCCATCCAGAAAACAGAACAGTGGAAGGCAGGAAGCAGAGACCTTGATGAAAAGAGTTTATTTACAAACCAACCCCCAATCTCTGTGTTACCTCTTACATAGACCACTGCTCCTCTGGCTTCTCAAGGGAGAATTAGCACTGAGTAGTTGTAATGTGAAGTGTCTCCAACGCTAACGGGGAGAACCTCCTGCTCTTCTTCCAGGTGCCAAGCCAAAGAATTGTCCTCAAGTGGAGGTGTAGAAGCTGGCCCGATGGTGAGTCTTTCTGAGCACCTCTGATAGCACCTACACTTGGCAGGAAAAGAAGGAGCAACCATGACTGGTGCCTGTATTTGGGGACAGCCTCACAACCACAGCTGCTGTGGGCTGTGAAAAGCAGCTTTGCTCCCAGGCAGCAGCAGACAGGAAATTGGCGACAACAGACATGATCCTTTAAAACCCACTCTATTGAAATGTCTTCTTTTCTTCCCCCAGAACATTATGCAGTGGTTGCCTTGAGTTTCAAGGATATGGCTGCTCAAACAGAACTGCAGGTAGAGTGCAAAGGAGTTCCCGACTCCAGTGAAGACAGCACGAGGCAATGTTGGAAGCAGCAGTATTTTGAAGAAATCCATGTTTTGCTCCAGCAGTCCAAAGACACCATGGAATGATGCCAGCGCCATCCTTTTGTCAGGGCATTACTTTTTATACTCTGTTAACATTTGTTTTTGTTTTTTTAAAGAAGTAATTTATTTGTGGGAGGAATAAAGGCCCACATCTGATACTGTATATATTTCAGCATTATTTATGGATTTTTAGGGAATGAGGAGGCACGTAATGCAGACTCTGGCTATAAACAGCTTTACTGGGGGAAACTGCTCTCTCTTCTGCTTGCTTGCAATTAAATCTAAGGTAGTAACGATTCAGCTGCAGTGAAGCACCATCATAGGTAGGTAAGCGACATGAATCAGTAGGAAGCATTTGCTGTTCTTAAATATTCAGTGTATCCAGTGGAAAACCTAAATCCCTCAAGGACACGGGGTTCCCATCAGAGGTGAACTAAAAGGGATTATAAAACTATTTGATACATTAAATCTTGTAAGAAGTGGGAGGGATTTCACTTACAGCATCTTTAAATACTTGTTAAAATGGCTTTAACTGCAGACTGAACTTGTTTCTAACTCTGTAGCCAATTTTAGGGAAAGATCATTACCAATCCACATTCTGGGTGGTACAACAGTTACCACTGGTAAGCTTGCATGCACTTACTTGACCTCAGCGTGAAATTCCCTTTGGAAGAAACCAACAGTAATAACGCTTTCTCTCTGCAATCCTCTGCCCCTTCCCCTCCAATCATTTATGGGCCTCTGCAGTGCTGTAGCTCAGACTGAGGAGAGCAACTGTTTGTTAGAGAAACGTGACAGGAGCAAAGCTGGGCTGTTGAAGGTAAAGAACTGTTACTCTTACGTTGAGGTTAGCAAGGAGAACTTACATGTTTTATAAAAAGTGTATGAATTAAGTACGCAATTTGAAACAAATTGACCACAAAAAGGGCAAAATGCCTTTGGTTGACTCAATAAAAGGTTATTTTACATGCAGTTTGTTTTCTCCATTAACTGATACTGCCAAACTAAATGAGTCTGTGTGGAAGTTAAGTCCTACATACTTCATCTTTACCCTCCACCAACCTAGGGCAGCCTTAACCTCACATCATCCAGGAGCTAATAGAAATGTGCTGCTCTTTCCCACAGGCAAGGTCTTCCCTGGAGTTTGCAGTCAGTTATCATCCCCTTTGCACTTCAGTGAGGTTTGTTGTAGTAAAACAAGTAGATGTACAAACTGGTTACTAAGCGTGGTGGTGCTGGTGTTCCAGGTGTCCAGATGGAGGGTGGAGAACAACCTCTTGAGAAGTGTCCTGGTTTAGCATCTTTCTGCATGCTCAGAATGTAGTAGCCTTTTGTAGTAAACATTTGAGGACAAAGAGCCTACCAGCTGGAATACAGAAATGATTTAGTCTTGGTTGATGGAAGGAACCTTTAAATAGAAAATCCAGGTTTAAGACAGATGAGGCTGAACAGCTTTTTGTGTAATGACCTGTTTGTGACAATTCAGTATCTGAGTGGGCTGTTCCATGTGATTACAAGTGCTCTACAGCCCTTGTACTTCCTCACCAGTTCTCCCTCCTAAGAAAGCCCTTCCTCCATAGGGCCACAAGTGCCCACCCCTCGTGTTTTACAAGTCTCAGTTTTCTTGTGTCCTGCCACAAGCAGGAGCATTCAGCTGCACCAGCTGCTGACTGACTTGCATGTCCAGTGTTGCACCACTCACTTCAGAGGTGGGACCCCAGAGAACTGCAGCAGTGGCTGCTGGGAGGGCCAAGGAGAGAACAGTGAACTGGACAGTAAGAGCTTTAAGAGATGAGGATGTCGGTTAAAGATGGGGCTGTCAAAGACAGGGATAAAAAAGCATCCTGGAATGCAAAGGAATGCAAATCAGAAAATGATTTAAAGAAGAGGAATATTGTGGAAGAAATGGTCACTTAGAGGGCATGGGACACGAGGGACCCACAGGAAGATAAAGCAGCAGGGGCAGACAAGGGTAGGGAAGAGATGAGTAGTGGGGAAGAATATTGCAGGGGGGCAATGGGAAGGTGATGAGGGAGGAGCAGGAAGGACAGTTACACTGCTGGAAGCCTGGCAAAACAATAGAAAAGGTGCCATTAAATTCAGTCAGTTGAGACCTACAGGATAAACAATTACAGCTCACAACATGCTCCATAGCATCTTGTAACGTTTGCTCAGGCTTTCTGAAGAGGCTGCAAAGGAGCTGTTGGCCTAACATAACTGAGATGTGTCTTAACTGGGTAAAGGTGCTTGGCTTAAGGAGCCACCAAATCCTAACACCCCACAACCCTGAGACATCATATGGAACTGTAACTTTCAGGAGTCCTTGTTAATGGAAAATCATTATAAATGGACTTCTGCTGGCATTCCAAATGCCACTAGACACCCGTATTTGTGAGAGAATAATTGACAATGCAATGTAACTACTGACAGCACTGGCAAATGACATGTATGGGTCTGCAGGAGCAAACACAGGCCCAGGTCAGTGACCAGCTGAACATCAAAGTGCTGACGTTCATCTGGGAGCACAGGAGAGCAAGAAGGATGCAGCACTTAAATACTGTTTGTACTTGGCACACTTCACAAAGAGGGGTTGAAATAATGAGAAAGAAACATCACAAAAGACAGAATTCCTTGCTTTCATACCAGAATTACGATGTGATGTCATCCTCTATGTGAAGCTGAAAGCCACCAAAGGGCACTATCCAACAGCGGCCCAAGGATCAGATGCACATTTGTAACAGGAGGAATTAACTGAGGTTACTCACCCAAGGGTCAGAATGGCTGCTCCAGCTCTTGAAGGTGTATCTTGAAGGTATCTTCCTGCACACATCGTAATCCAACCACAAATAGTAGGCTTGGGTGGAAGCTGACAGATTAACTCTGATACTTGCTAGGGAGAGGCTTTGAGTTCTTTCTCTGAAGTTACAATCTATGGAGAAGTTGATCAGAAAACAGCAATAAAATTACTCCTAAAGGGAGTGAAACCATCATTACTTCATGTCTGAATAATAAGGAGACCAACTTAAGCACTCACCAGCATCAACACAGTGTCTAATTGCAGGAGTAAAAGAGCTGGGTAAGGGGAATATAAAGTGTAAACTTTAAAGACAAATTATTGCTTGTAGGTTGAAAATACTGAGAGTAGAGTCAAGGAGAGTAAGAGGAGCCACAAAAGCATCACATAATAGAATCGTGGAGAAGCAAATGATGCTCAACTACATTAAATGGTAGAATGAAGGAATTTGGAAGAAAAAAGGCCCAGATAGATGCATCATGAAGACAATAGAGAAACAAATGAGCTAAGCAACTGGAAAATGAAGCTGAAAATGGAGTTTAATCAGATATTAAAACCAGTATCATTGACAGTCTGAAAAGTCACATAGGAAATAATGGATATTGCTCGGAAATCACAGGAGGAAGAGGGACAGGGAAAGATGATAAAGTCATTCCAGCATTTGAGGGGTGCAGAAGCCATCAAGAAAGCAACAGCCAGAGGGAGCAGGCCCCTGGGCAGCAGGCGGAGGGGAAAAGGAAGCAAATCTATGGATGGTACAGGAATAAAACAGGGCTGACACAGGTCAGAGTTAGGGAAATGAGAAGTTCCACTGGCTTCTGCACCTCTATGTTCCAACATAGCAGTGAGAAAGTCAACAACCACCAGGCCCTCTCGACTGTGTGACTGAACATCCATGCAAAGTAAACCAGAAGAGGCCCAAGCTTTACATCGATTATATACAAGGGATCATCGTTCCTCTCTGCAGCCGTTGCAGTGAGCAAGTTGTCTTTGCAGGGAAATCCAAAGACTGAAGCCACATATTATAAACAAATGAAAAGTCATCACAATCAGTTTAATGAAGTGCACAGAATAGCAATTGATCATGTCAATAAAAATAAAACAATTAATTTTACATCAAGTGTGCTTTATTTCCTCCACAGGTATTCTGTTAAATAAAGCACCATATATATACTGCCAGGCCACAGCTAAAGAGGATTCTTTACAGAATCAAATTTCTTGTGGTTGTTTAGTATACAAGTAAACTTAATTTTTGATAATAAGAACCACAGCGATCTGAGGCAATCTGCCTCTATTATAAGGTACAAAACTGGCACAGAGGACACCATATTATACACAGTAAAAATGCCATAAGTTTAAATTACATCATCCAGGGCCAGGAGGCCCTGTTCTCCCAGACAGCCAATATTAAATGAAAGCCACTACAGTGAACTCTTAATTACATAAAACATACCCATTATCTGATTGCCCTTTAAGAAAGTGTACGGTAGATGCAAAAGAAAACAGAAAATCAAATGGAAACAAAAGAAAAACCAACCCAAATCTTGAGTTCTGCCTGACCAAGAAGGAAGCATAATAAATCTATCTTGCCATTCAAGCAGAGAGCACTGGACAAACTGAAGCACAAAACCAGAAATAAGCAAAACTTATACAAACAGCGTTTTTTGGGGGTGGAGGGGAAGGAAGGAAGGAAGGAGAGAAAAATAAAAGACTTAAAAGCAGACATGCTCCATCTAATGTCAAGAAGCAGCTTGGTTTCCTTTTCCAGATATCCTTGTGACCACGTGAATCGTAGACTCAATGGTCCTACACAGGATGTCTAAAATGTCATGCTGCGGCATGTGACTGAAGAGTCCTCTGGAATGGCCACAGCTGATTGATAAACTAGATTCGGGGTCCTGGGATGGTAAGGCTTGGCCATCACAGCCTCTCAGATCTGCGAGGTCGGATAAAACCGCTGAAATCGACGTGGAGGGAAACTCCGAGTCCTCCTCGGCCCCAATGGGATCCTTGGGAGTCTGCAGGTCTTTAAACTCTTTGCACTCTTCAAATTTACCGTTCCCTGCCTGCTCGTCCACGTGCTGCGGCCGCGTCGCTAACATGATGTCTTCGGAAAACGAAGATGGAACTTCCATTCTGTACTCCTTGACAGAACTGTTCTCGGGGGAAGGAGGATCCTGCTCGGTGCCAGGGTCGATGATGGAAGAGTCCCGTGTCTCGTTATCCGAAGTGCTCGTCGGGGTCAAGGCCTCCCGGGGTTCAGTTTTAATGTCACTGATACAGCTATCTACAGTGTGCTCCTCGTCGCTGCTCACCCGCCGCCTCTTCACAGGGGTAGCTCCTTCATCATCTGCAAGGAACAGGGAAAC